AAAGCTAGGATCCTGGAAACCTTCACAGGGTCAGGCACCGAGACGATTCTCAGAACGCCACAGTGTCCAGCCGGGAATGGGCAGCGGGGGGGAGGGGCGAACGCAGCGAGCCCCAGGCTGGCGTCCTGCGGCGGGGCCTCCCGCGGGGATGGAAGGGGGCCAGGTGCATCCTGGGACTGGTGCCGGGCTCCCAGCCTCTGCCCCACCCCCCGCCCCCACGGGCAGGCACCGAAGACCTGGCCCTGTCACCGGAGGCGGCGAGAGGAGCTGAGGGTTCGAGCAAGGACTCCCGCCTGAGACTGGACGTGCTGGGCAGGCGGGGCCGGAGGCTGCCGGGCGCTCGGCACCCCAAGAAGGCGCCCAGGCCCACGCCGCCTCGCTCCCATTGAGAGCTCCCTGGCCCCTAAACCACACACAGCCCAGGGCTTAGGGTCACTGACACACCGCGGGTTTCCTTATGTTATTAGTGAGGAGCCAAGGAGACGTTGTGTCACTTGCTGATGAGCCACCATGAACTGGAGCAAAGGTCAGGTTTGCGCCAACTCTGTGCTGCGCTCCGCAACGACGGATCCGGTTAGAGAGGCTGTCGGTCACCCGAGACTTGTGTGGAGCTGCCGCCCCGCAGGGCCGGCGGGGTTCTGTGATCACCCCAGGGAGCTGCACTCTGACGGGAGGGGGCCTCGAGGTCAGCGCCGGACACTGGGCACGCTGAGCCGCAAGGCCTCTGGCCGCGGGCACTCAGGACGCCCCCGATTGGGTGCTGCGCAGCGTCAGCTCTGCGGGACGTGTGTGCCCGGTGCTGACCCTGCCCCGTGGGCCGGAGGGCGTCGAAGGCAGGCCTGGCCGCGAGCCCACCCGGATGGGCTGCTGCAGCGCCCACGAGGCTCTGGTCTCCCGTGAGCCCTGGACACACGGGCCGTGCTCCTCCGGCCTCGGCCGCCAGTCAGACACTCAGACCTTGATGCCCAGTGACACCCAGCTCCCGGGGGACTCGCTTCCTCGATGCCCTGTGGAGCCCCTGGTGACACAGAGGCTGCCACCCTCCCGGGTGCCCCGCACCACGGCAGCGGGCCCACCTCACGTCCTGTGCTCCTGATTCTGAGACGGGCTCAGGGCAGCTGTGGTGCGGGAGCTTATACACACACACACACACACACACAGGCCCTGGGACTGCTGGGCGCGGCCCTGGGGGTCTTGGTTAACGGTGCAAAAATACAATGTGTTCGAGATCGGGAGCTGTGGCTGGCGACCTATGCGTTAAGAGGGACGTGGGGGCTCGGCGTGCCTCAGTTTACCGATGGCGCTCAGGAATGAAGGGGAGGCAGGTTGTTTGGGTGACACGGTCTCTGCTGTTGAGAGGGAATGGATCGGGGACGCTCGCCGCTGGAGACGCCACCCCGCCCCCGCCCCGCCCCCGCCCCGCAGGCAGGACCAGCTGCACAGGGACAGCGCCGGCCGCCGGGCTCTGTAAATATTTACGGGGACGTCGGGGCCGCCTGACGTGGGGCTGTTGCGACATCGCAAAATAAGCTAGAAATTGAGCTGGTAAGTTCCCGAAAATCAGATGGCAGTGGTGGTGTGGGTGTGGGTGCGTGTGCACGCACGGAGATGCACACACACGCATCTGTGCATGAATACGTGTGTGCGCACACACGCGTGCATCCACACGCGAACAAGGGCACACGGGCACACAGGACAACATGAGCCCGCACACCCATGTTTGAGTGTGGCGTGTGCACACATGATGACACATGGTGGTGCACATGCATGTGTCTGTGTGCAAACACATGAACACACGTGTACACATGGCAGCACACGAGCACGTGTCCATCTCTGTGTGTGTGCCTGGTGAGACACACACGTGTCCGTGTGTGGAGGTGTGTTGAGCACACCTGTAGATTTGTTCAGGGTTGGGGGCGACGGCAGCCCTTGCGCTTCAGAGAGAAAGGCCCGAACACCTGGCAGGTGTGGGGGGGCCCCGAGGTGTCAGTCCCATGGGCGCTGCGTGGCACAGACCCAGCCGGGCAGGCGCCTTTGAGAAGGGTCCTGGGGAGGTGACGGTGGAAAGTCCACAGCCAAGGTCCTGTCAGGGCTCCACCCCCGCACACCGGGGTCACTGACGGAGAGTCCCCTCCCTGTCAAGTAGCACCTCCTGTCTTTCGGGGGTGGCGGCCTGTGGGCAGAGCTGGGCTGCTCCCTGGCCCCTGTGCTGGGGGAGTCGGGGCTCTGGGGGAGCAGCTGCCTGAGGGCCCAGCTCCGACAACCACCCCCCGGGAGGGCGGACAGGTGGGCGGGCTCTCCCTCCGACAGTCGCCGAGGGCCCCGGCTCCCAGCACGGCCGGGCGCTGCTCACCTCCGAGGGACACCCCTGCCCCCGGCACGGGGCCCGGGACTCCGCCGTCTGAGCCACGGTCTCCTCAAGTGCCAGAGGTGAAACACGCCGACGTGCTCTGCCGTGTGCATCTGCCATGGGGGGGGGGTGCGGGGGTGATGCCGGTCGCTGCCCGCCCGAGCCGTCATCACGAGAGCGCTCTGAGGCCCGGGAGCGTGGCTGGGCGCGGGGGAGGGTCTGTGAGTCCCCGCGCACAGTCCCGGGTACCGAGGCGTTGGGTCTCACACGTGCTCACAGCTGCAGAGTGGCACCGCCCCCGCCCGCACTCAGCACGCGTGCACACCTGCACGTCCCGGCCCGAGCGGGCGGGCCCCGGGGCCAGGCGTTTGGCTGTGGGCCCCGTGGCTGCGGAGCCGGGCTCCGTGGAGGTGACTCAGCATCCGGGCGCGGGCGGGGGCGGGGCTGAGCCCCAGGCCTCCGGGCAGGCGGGTCACCCGAGACTCACCCAGGGATGCTGCCGGCAGCTTCTAGAGGCTTCCGGACCAGGGGCAGGTCTCTCGCTGTGATGCAGGCCCTCCAGGAGCCCAGGCCAGGCCTCGCCTCGCTGCGCCCTGGCCACGGTGTGGGGTGCCTTGCCCACCTCCCCGCCCACCCTGCTGGGGTGCGGGTGCAGCCCGAAAGGACGAAAGTGGGAGGAGCAAAACCGAACCCCAGTCTGACCACCACGAGCACCCAGAACTGCGCAGGGCGACCCACGGGGGCACGGGCCACGCTCACACCCTCTTCGTGGGTGGCGGCGCAGCCGCTGCCTGACCTGCTGACCAGGACAGTCGCCCTGTGTGCCCGCACTCGCATGGCCTTACGAGGTCAGAGGCACCCGCGGTGACTGCTCAGCGCCTGGAGGGTGAGAGCGGAGGTTCTCGCAGCCTCATCCCTGCTCAGGGCTCTCAGCCCCCCCGAGGCTCCGGGGGGGGCGTGTCCTGGACCCGCCGCCCCACTAGGCTGGGCGGCCGGCGCTCTGCGGGGGCCCCCCTCCGCTCCCTCCGCCGAGCTCTGTGCTCCGCTCCGTCCCCTGGGCAACCAGGGCGCCAGGCGGGGCGGGCGTCGAGGGGCAGTGGGTGGCAGGTGCTGGGAGCCTCAGCCTCTGCGGAGCCTACTGGGAACTTGTGCTCACTGGCCCCGCTGAGCCTTGATCCCCACGCGGGACACGGGACCTCCAGTCGGTCAGGGAGGCTGCACACGCAGAAGTCTGCATGGAAAACCGAGTTCAAATAGGAGCCGAGACCCTTCTTACATGACAACATTGCAGGCCAGAGACTCACACGCCTGTACTGATACACACATGACCCACGGTCCCACACATGACCCACGGCCCCACATGTGACACGTGTTCCACACGTGACCCATAGCCCCACACATGATCTGTGTTACCACATGTGAACTGTGATCCCACATGCCCTATGCCCCACACGGGACCCGTGGTCCCACGTGACATGTGCCTCCACATGTGACCTGTACTCCCATACTTGAACTGTGGTACCACACGCGAACCATGGTATCATGCATGACCAGCAGTCCTACATGAACCATAGTCCCACACGTGACCCGTGGTCCCATATGTGACCCGTGGTCTGCAGGGGACCCAGCGGCTGGTCCTGGGCTGAACCCGACTCAGGCCCGAGTGCTGCTGTCACTGCGGCCCGGCTGGTCCCAGACGGGGGGGGGGGGTGCACCACAGAGCAGGACCCTGTTAGTAACTGAGTTACTGATTCAACTTCAAGTTACAGTAACCAGTGACTGATTAAACTACTATTCACAGTAACCAAAGCAGTTTCACACACAGCTCCTCGTCGTCTGTCCCCACATCCCGGGGAGCTGCGTTATTTTCATCCCCAGGACGCGGTGGGAGGAGAGAGGCCCGAAGTCCCCACCACCCCACAGGCGGCCGAGGCCTTGTCGTGCGGCCACAGCCCCGTGGTCACTCCCCACGTGCACGGCCTTGAGGGCTTCCCCCACGTCGGGGCTCCGCCTGGGGGCCACGGTGACCCCGGGCGGAGGGAGCCTGAGCACCACGTGGAGGAGGACCCGGAGCCCTAGCAGGGTCTCGGGGGGAGGGGCGGTTCCTGACGGTGCTGTGTGCAGGGTGGGGCTCACCGCCCCCCCCCCGCCCGGTCTGGCGTCCTGCCTGGACCCTCCGACCGGGCCTCACGGCAGCCACGCCCGTGTCCGGGCAGAACGACCGAGCCAAACTCCAGGAAGACTGGGCACGGCCTCGGAAGGGCCTCCAGCCCCCAGCGCCGTGTGTGGGGGCCCTGCCTCCTGCATCCTGTTGGTGGGTGGGCTTCAGGCTGAACACACGGATGGAGCCTCTCCTGGCACCCCGCCCCGGGGCTGCCTCCCCGAGGCCCACTCCCGGCCTCCACACCCCCGTCTGCTCGTTCTCAGAGACACAAACCCTGTTCCGATTCCCAACAGGCCTGTCTGCCGCCTGGGGACCCCCCGAGTCCCTGGACACCCCGACCCTGCGGCCCTCCCTTGGGCTCGTCCCTGGCCCCGGTGGCACAGGAGCGGCTGGAGCGCGGCCAGCTGGAGCCTGCAGACCTCAAGTTGGGGCGAGCTGGGGAAATGTTGACTTTGAGTTAAATGCTCAGCCTCAGGGAAGGTGCAGATGGCAGCCGCGCCACCCGCAGCTGCCGCAGAGGCCGGGGAGGGGCCGGGAGAGGGTGGGGCGGGGGTGGCGTCCAGGAGGGGCTGGCCCTGCCAGGGCACCCACCTGCCCCTCAAGAGGACAGAGCTGGGAGGTGCCAGCAAGCCCCTGGCGGAGCCTGGCCAGGAGTGTGCGGCCAGCGCTGGGCCCGGTTCCGGAGGGCGGGGCAGAGCTGACCCGGGTCCCGGCAGCCCCGTCGGCGGCCGGCCCGAGAGCCGCAGCTGCCTGGAGCCTGGGTTTCCGGGCGAGCCGGCTGCTCGGAACCCGGAGGCTGCACATTGTGGAGGTAAGAACGAGGCTGCAGGTGTGGCCTCCTGGCCACGCGCCGGCCTCGTGGCTCTGACGTGGCAGGAAAACACGCGCCCTGATTGGACCGGTGCTGGGTTTGAGGGTCTGCTGTGAAGAGGCGCTGTCCCCGGGAAGCCCCCCCGTGAGCTGGCCCCCACGCTGGAGAAACAGCGAGGACCCCGCCGGCCCATTAGCTTCCAGCTGCGTGGCTCCGCCACGTGGCTGTTTTCGTGGTGGGGCATTGTTGCTGATGCCATTTTGTAACATGCGAGGGGAAGGGGGCACCAGAGGGCGTGGGTGTCCGCCTGCAGGCGCCCCCGGAGTCTGCCCCCCACGCGGCTGCCGGGCCAGGGGCGGTCCCTGCGGGGGCGTCGGGGTGACCGGCCCTGCACGCAACGTCCGAGGTGGGTGCAGACGGCTGCAGCTTCCACGGGGCCAGCGTGGAGGCTTCCAGGCTGGGCCCCGGCAGCTTCCTGTGGCCACCGAGAGCCTCTGCTCTGCCCTGGAGGAGGTGGCGGGTGCACGGGCCGGGCAGAGCGGAGGGGAGCGGGCGGGTGTGCGCTCAGCAGCCAGGTGACAGGCCACCTGGAGGGACCTCCCACCGGTCCTTCCTGAGTGCCCTTGGAGTCACACCCGCGCTGCGTCCATTCCAGAGAAACCCCTCTTCCTCCTCAGGGCCCCGCGGTGCCCGGACGCCCCCGTCAGAGCAGACCAGACTCGGCACAGAGGGCGGAGGGCGTCTCCGCTGCACCCTCAGCAGCCAGCGCGGCTCACGGCAGCGCCCTGCGGGTGTGTGCGGGACGGACAGAGGGACATGAAGAAGGACGGGTGGACAGAGGGATGGACGGGTGGACGTATGGATGGACAGGTGGACACAGGGACGGGTGGACGTGTGGACAGTCGGGTGGGCTCACGGACACGGACGGGTGGGCGAGCGTGTGGGCGGCCGGAGGTGGGGAGACGGGCGTGGTGAGCTCCTCTGTGCCGCCCCGGAGGTGGCGTGGTCGGCAGAGGGACTCGCGGCAAACCCTCACGGACAGAGTTCCGTCCCCCCCCACACACACGTGGCCACAACTCCCCTGCAGCCGGTCAGGCCCCTGCCCCGTGGCACACGGTGACAGGTCACCGAGTTCTCCGCCTGTGATTCCGTGCCGTCTGCCCGTCTCTGGCCCCTTCTGTCCGCCGGCAGAGCCCGGCAGCGCTGCTGTTCGCTGCCTGAAGCCCGAGCTCCAGGCCCCGTGTGGCTCCTTCCCGTGGGGGGGCCGGGGGGTCCCTGAGAGCTGCCCCTTCCCGGGGCCCGTGGCCTCCCCCGAGGACAGACATCCCGGGGCCCTGCACGGGGGTCTGTGAGCCTGCACCTCGCCTCTCCCAGCTCTCAGGGCCCACCCCCACGCACACGGTCCCCCGCGCTGTCCCCGGGGGACCCACGCCCCGGTGCTGGGTGCGAGGCCTGGCGCCCGTGCACCGATCAGGATGAGGCCGCCTGCCAGGTCCCGCCACGCGGGGGGCTGCTTGGTCCTCGGGGCAGGGACCCACACCTCGCCCGGGTCCCCTGCCCCCTCCCCCCTGCCCCGCACGACGCCTGAACCGCGAGAGGGTCTCAGCCGGGGGAGGGAGACGGCGCTCTGCCCTGCTGCTTTCTGGGGAAGCCGGGAGGCGGCCTGTGAGTCACAGCGACGGGGACCAGGGGAGCTGACCCGCACGCAGGCCGGGCGCCGAGTCCCGCCGGGAAGTGAGGAAACAAGGGCACTGGGTCTCCGAGGGGATTTCCAGGCACCCCCGGGCGTGCGGAACTGCCTGCCCCTTCCGGGAACGCTGGGGTTTCGCTTTGGCAGCCGCGGTCTCCCGGACGGTCCGCGCAGCAGTGACCGCGGCGGAGCAGCCTGGGGCGGGCCCGGCTCTGGCGAGGAGGAGGCCTCGCCCCTGGGCTCGCCAGGCTCCGCCCACTGTGTTTACAGGGGGAGCCCTTTCCCTGCGGCCAGTCCCTGCGCACACTGGCCGGGCGCCCTGCAGTGTTCGCGCGGCCTCCCGTGCGCCGCCGTCCTGCGGCGTGAGTCCCGCCAGCGTCCCAGGTTCACAGACGAGGAGACGGGCGCCACCACGGGGAGCTGGCTCACCGCCAAGTCCCAGAGCAGGGGGCGCGCCCGGGTCTTAGCCGCAGACCCCCCCCCCCCATCCCTGCGGTTTCCTCTCAGGCCCTGCCGGGCGGCTCTCCATTGAGGTCACCGTGTTTGCGCGAAGCGGGGCCTGCAGCTCCTCTGCGGTGGGTCTGCGCGTCCGTGCGCTCGGGAGGGAGACGGGCTGCTCCTCGTCTCTCCCTCCGCCCCCCACGGGCCTTCGCCTGCAGCCCTCTGTCCGGACAGTCCCCCCAGTACAGGGTCCGGCACGCACAACGCCCCCTTTGTATCACACGGCCACACGCGTGTCGTTCTGTGACGTGACTCTCCTCACACGCGGGCTCACCACGTGACGCTCCAGGGCACACGTTCGCACGGCTGCCCGTCCCGTGCGAGGCGCTCGGTGGCGTCACTCCTGCTGGACGTGTGTTTGGGCGCCTGCTCTCCGTGCTTCTGGGGCCCGGGCACAAAGGGGAGGAGGCCCTGGCCACACCTGGCCAGCGGTGGGCTCCTCCGCTGACCGGAGCCAGGAGACGCCTGCTGGGCCCTCCCTGCCTCCGGCCGCACCTGGGCCTCCTGCTCAGCCCTGCGGAGGGGGGTCTCTCTGTCTCCGCGGCGCAGAGGGAAGAGGGCCCTTCCTTCTCCTGCTGACCCGGGCAGGGGCCGCCACCCCCCCGCACGGCGGCTGAAACCCACGCGTGTCCTTCCTGGCCCGGGGAGGACTCTCCAGGCGGCCTTGTCAGCTGGCCACGGTGTCATCTGTGGCCCAGGCAGGCCGTGCACCAGGGTGTGTCCCTCTGACCCGCGAGGACGCGGGTGACGTCCCAGCAGGGGTGACGCAGGTTGCCGACTCGGGCGGGCGGGCCCCCCCAGGTGCCTGCTCACTGTCGTTCTCTGGTGGCAAGGTGCTGTCACGCCCGGCGTGCACGGTCCTCTCCTGTCCCCGTCAGGCGGCGGGCGTCTGCTGCGGCGGCAAGCACCGTGAGGCACACGCAGACCTCACCTCCTTCCTCTCCCCCCGAGGTCGCGCCCGGTCGCCGTGGCTCGCCCTGCACTCTTCCCGTTGGCAATGCCCGTGTGTGGCTTGTCCCCCTGCCAGCCGCAAACCGGGGCCGTCCGTTGGGGAGGAACTCGGGGGGAAGGGAGCAGCTTCCTCCTCCCCGGGAGCCTCGGTGCAGCCCGAGTCCCTCACGGTGGCTGCGCAGCCTCCCGCCGCTGGCCCGCCTTCCTGGTGTGAGCGGTGGCCTCAGAGAGCAGGTCCCGAGTGGCCTGGGGTGGGCGGGTGGACGCGCCCTCCCCGGGATGGGCAGGCCCGGCAGGTGGCCAGCCGGCCTCAGCGGACAGGGCGGGGCAGGGAGGTCTCGGGAGGAGCCAGGATGCTCTTCCACCTCGGAGAGGCTCCTGAGGGCAGGCACAGCCAGGCCCCCAGCGGGCCCCGGGGCCCCGGGACAGAGGCCCCTGCAGGCCCGGCCCGGCCTGCGCCTGCCCTCTGCTGTGGCCACCACTTCCGTCACGGGTCCTCAGTCCCCGCACGTGCTGGTCAGTGCCTGCCCACCCACTGGGTCTGGGAGTCCGTCCCTTCCCCTCGGTGCTGGGTTCCCGGCCGAGCAGCTCTCTGCCTGCCCCGCCCCCCTCCACTTCCTCCCGGCCCCTCTCTCCTGTCTCCTGCCCCCCGCCCTGCAGGGCCTGCCCTCGTCACTGAACAGTGGACCAGGACTGACCCCGTCCAGGCAAATGGAGGCTCCCGGGGCCACGGTGGGACATCACGGCAGCCTGGTGGCGGCCGGGGGCTCAGAGGAGGCGGCCTAGACCAGCCCCGAGGAGATGCTGGACCTCAGAGGGGCACCGCCCAGCCTCCCCCCATGAGCTGGCGCCAGAGGCGAGGGACCAGGCTGTTCCCGTGTGCATGCATGTACGTGCGTGTTGGGGTGGGGGGTCTGCACCCCTGAGGAGAAAATGTGGAAAAGTGGAGGCAGCAGCGGGTGGGCCTCAGATGTGAGGGGCCTGCTGGCTCCTGAGGGGCCCAGCCCCCAGAGAGGAGCCTCGTCGACTCCTTTCCTTCCTTTCAACCCGACAGGCTCCTGACGCAAAGGCCGCACACATGCACGATGAAGAAATCAGGCAATGTGCACACGCGGCGTCACGGAGGAAAACGGCTGAACACACTCTGCCGACGCGGGCGGTCTCCTTCGGGCACTTCCGGCAGGGCGGGGGGTGGGGTCTGTCTGTCCCTCTGTCCATCCGTCCGCACCCCACAGAGGCTGCACCTTCTGTCCCACTGTGCACCGTGCAGCACGGCTTTTTCACGTGGTACGACATCAAACGGCCTCATAGCTCCCTCAGTTTTAGAATAAAGTTTAGAAAGAACCACTCACATTTCATAAAAACCTACACAACCTGGTGGAATGGGTCGGATTGATTCCTCAGGAGCAGAGCCTGTGAGAGGGAAGTCCTGCTTCCAGCATGTGTGTGAGACCTGTGCGTGCGTGAGACGTGTGTGAGAGAGACGCGCACGTGTGTGAGACGCATGTGTGTGAGACATGTGTGTGAGATGTGTGTGTGAGAGACATGCACGTGTGTGAGATGCACGTGTGTGAGACGTGTGTGCGTGAGATGTGTATGTGCGTGAGATGCATGTGAGACGCGCACGCACATGGAGGAGACATGTGAGACATGCATGTGTGTGACGCGTGTGAGACATGTGCATGAGATGTGTGTGAGGTGTGCGTGTGCGTGAGACGTGTATGTGAGACGTGCATGTACGTGAGGTGTGTAGGTGGGTGAGGCATGCGTGAGACGTGTGTGTACATGTGCAGTTTGGGTGTGTTTCTCACGTTTATTGAGTAAATGTAGGTGCCTGTGCTGTGTGCTAGGAATTGAGAATGTGTCTGAACAAGAGTGAAATTCCTGTTCTTGTGAAGTTTATGTTCTCGTGAGTATTCATTGGGCCACTTTTGGGGCAGAGAATGCAGATCACAAGGAAAATAAACATATTTGGTGCAAGAGTATTTTTGCTTACTGACAACTTCTGAGATATCAATGAAAAAAGTCAGTGACGTTTGCGAGCCTTAAGGTGCCACCCTCCGACTGGCCTGTTCTTTGGAGGCTCCTTCACGACTCCCCTGAATTGCTCCGTTTCCATTTCAGAGAAAGTGGCCCATGAATGCAACACAGGAGAACTTTTTCTTTCAGCCTGAACTCCACGCGTGAACAGGTTTAACGTTTAAAACTTTAAGTATGTATCTGATACCACATGCAGAGGTCACAGCGACGGCCCAGGGGGCTCTCCGGGGGGGCTCCACCGCCGGGAGGAGGGGGCCGCTCCCCCCCCCCAACCTCAGGCTGATGCCCGGGATTCCAGAATTCTGTCTCATTTCAGCAGGAACTTAGTAAATGTAGAAACATCCGTTCTCTAAAACCTCGGGAGGTCAGTTACTGTCTCTTCCTGCTGACCGGCCAGCTGCGGCCTTTCTCCCCACAGCCTTCCCGGCTCAGCGCACGGAGCCCCTGGCCTTCCCGAGCCCTGGAAGCGGGGACCACACGTCCTCCTCCCGGAGGGGGGGGCAACCCGGCACGCTCAGGGTCGGCACTCGCGAGGGGCGCACACAGGGCTCCGCCCTTGGCGCCCCTCGGCTCCCCTCAGGGGCTCCGTGAAGGTGGCCCTGAGAGCCTGAGACCCCCAGGCACAGATGTCCAAGGCTGGCCGGCCTGGAGCCCAGGTGGGCAAAGGAGCCCGCTGGCCTGCGCCCGGGCCGAGGACGGGGCGGCCTGAGCTTCACTCGGAGCAGGCGGAGGCCGGGGGGCCCAGTCCCTGTGGCTCACACACAGCAGCCTCGCTGGTGCCCAGAAATTCGGCCCGCTCCTCCGCGGTTCCATCACTCCAGACCCGCTCTCCCGAGCTCAGAGCCGCCCTGCGGCCCGGCCCACCCGCCCGCTGCCCACCCTCCCCCTCCGCCACCCCCGGGGTCCCCGGGACCCCACCCCACTCGGCCCCTGCAGGTCTCTGCCTGGGGCGGCTGGGCTGTGCACCACAAATTAGCATCTCCCAGTGCGGGGCTCTCTCTCCCCGGGAGATGAAAGGCTCGGGGAAAACACAGACTTCTTGGCTTAATGAGCAGTAATCAGGGAGAGGGACGGGGAGTGACCTGGCTCATTATCCCGTTAAGGAGCAGGGCCCGCGGGCCGGCGGGGCGGGGTGCCCGCGGGCGCCCAGAACCCCTGGGAGCCGCGTCTGGGGTGCCCGGGGAGCGCGGCCACAAACCACGACTATTTTGAGCGCCAACTCCGGCTGCTGCGTTGCAGGCGGGAGCGAAGGCTTGCAGCATCCTCCCGAGAACACAATACACGAGGACACAATAAACAAACAGCCCGGCTGGGCCCGGGTCGAGGTGGAGCGGCCCCAGGTGGCGGCCCTTTGTCATGCTAATGTCCAGGCAGGCGTCCAGGGTCCCCACCTGAGGCCCCCCCAGGGCTGGGGGGGCGGGTGCTGCCGGAGCCGCCCGGACGCGGGGACCCGCTCGTTAAAGCACCTGGCGCGGCGGCCGGTGCGACCATCTGCCGGTCCCACGGGCAGAGCTGTGACTTCTGCGATCTTCGCGCGGCGTCCCAACGCAGGAAGGGCGGCCCCCTGTCGGGCCCCCGGCGGCCACGCGTGCTGACACCCCCACCTCGTGTCCCAGGTCCGCAGTTTCCGTGTTCCGTTGAACGCATCAGGAAAACGCGGCCCCGCCCCTCAGTTCGCAGAGAGCTGACCGGTGTTTCGGCCCCGCGGAGGCCGCCCGGGGGTCGGCTCGAGGCTGAGCCGGGTCTCTGAGAGGCGAACCCCGTCGGCCGTGGGGTGTCCAGAGAACGCACCGCTCCCGGCACTCTGGAAACACGCGTGGCAGCCGCGGAAACAGGCGCGGCACGCCGTTCCTGGTCGAGCTCCAGGTCCCGCCTCCCCTCACACCCTGCCCTTGGGCCAGGGCCCGAGTCTGCAGCTTCGACTGGAGCACCCACGGCTGAGCTGGCGCCGGGCCCTGCTCCCTCTCCCCGCACCGTCCATCTGTCCGTCCGTCCATCCGTCCATCCGTCCGTCCGTCCATCGGCCGAGGAAGGAAAGGCCCCGGAGCCCCGACACAGGACAAGTGTCCGGCCGGAAAAGAGTCCCAAGCAAGCATTTGATCAACGAGTGGCTAAACTAACAAGTGGATGTTGCAAATAGAGTTTTGTACCAGTCAGACGAGATGTGTCCCCCTGAGCTCACCCGCGGCCATGGGAAGTGACTCGGAGCTCCGTCCCTCACGACCTGACCCCGACTGCGCCCCTGCCGTCGGCCGCCGGGAGAGCCGGACGGGTGGGTAAACCGGCGCCGCTCCCGCCATCTGGTGACGGCCCTCCCAGCGGGCGAGAGGCGGGGCCTCGCTGGGCTCTCCACGCGCCCTTCCCTGCCCGCCCGTGGGTGGGTCTCCCTTTCTCGAGCTGGAGGGGAATCTGACCCGCACTGTTGGGAGACTTCCGTCCAGGTTTCTGGCCTCCTGAAAACCAAGTGTTTCTCTTGTTACGGGTCATGAACGTCCTTCGTGGGTTCTGGACGTCGACCCTGCGTCCAGGACGCGACTCCCAGCGTCTCTGCAGGTCCCGCAGCCCCTGTCCTGCCGGCAGCACCCTGGGGCTCGCGGTTCTCGAGGGGGCCGGTCCCACGTCCCCCTTCCCAGCCCCTCTCCTCCGTGCGTGCGGCCTTGCGGCCGGGGGTCTCCAGCTCCGTGTTTTCTTGTGGGACTCTCGTAGTTTCGGGTCTCACGGTTGGTCTCTAACCCACCGGAGTGAGTTTCTGTTTGTGTGGTGGTGACTCCAGGGCCCCCTGGGCCCCCCTCGCCGGCGTGTGGCCGGCCCGCCCCCCCGTGCCGCCCGGCAGAGAGACTGTGTCCGTCCCCCCCCCGTCCCCCCCCCCCGCCCAGAGTGGCCTTGGCCCTCCAGGGTTTGTTCCTGGGTTTCCCGCGCCCGTCCCCGGGCCTGCAGGCCCGTCGCTGCGCCCGCACCGCACTGCTCAGATGACGGCAGCTCCATCGGCGGCGGTGACACCAGACAGCGTGGGGCCTCCGCCTGCGTTCTGCCTTGTCGGCCTGTTTTGGGGGTTCCCTGGGGCTCCCCGTCACTCTCGGGGGGATCTTTCTGTCTTTAGAAAAGTCGCCCCCGGGACCTGGACAACCCGCAGGAGGCCCACTGAGCGGGGCCCAGGGTGGGGCACTGCGCCCTGCCCCCTCCCCGCCGGCCGGCGGATGGCCGCGCCCCTCCCGTCAGAGGCCCCCGGACACGCACACGGCCCCCGACCGGCACTCACCCACGTGTTGCTTTTGTTGTCGTCGCTTTTGTTTTTGTTGTTGCCCCGTTTGATTTATGCGGAGTCCCTGCAGCCGCCATCTGGAGCCGCAGTTAAAAGACATTTAAAAAGGTCTTTCAAAGTATTGTGTCTGCAGCCCCCCAAGAGCGTCCTGGTGGACCAGTGCTGTTTCATCTGTTTTTAATGCCACGACACAAACAGCAGTTAACACCCTTCAGCACACCACTCAGGAGAAATTACTCACAGGCCGTGCAAACCAGCGGGGCTCCCCCCCCCCGCCCGGCAGGACCCACGCTCGGGGTCGAGGCCCGGTGGGCTGCGGGGCCGTGGGAAGACGGTCCCTGGGGTCCCCGGGGGGCTGTGGCCACGGGAGGTCCCGGGGAACCGTTGGAGCTGACTGCACAGCAGAGCCCGGGGCGACCCTGGGGACCCCGCCGGCCACGAGGGCTTCTGCCACGGGGCAGGCTGGGCCGGCTCTCGGGGCCTCGGCTCCCGGCGGCCCTGAGGGACGGAGGCTGCCATCTCGGAGGGGCCCAGGACCTGCTCCCTCCAGCTTCTCAGGACACGCATGCTCCGTGGGCAGGCCGGCTGGGCCCCTCGTCCCCCCTGCAGCTGCCTGTAGCCCCAGCCGGCCCTGGGAAGCTCCCTCTGTCTGGGGACCGGCCGGGGCCGTCAGGCGGCAGGGGCCAGCCTGCAGGCCTGTGCCCCTTGGTCAGGACCAGCTGCTCCCGGGGCCCTGTGCGGACAGAGAGGCGGGCAGAGTTCGGACGTGTGGCCGCTCACCGGGTCCTCTCCGCGCCGTGAGCAGCCCCGTCAGAAGGCCGAGGGGCAGGGGCAGACCCCGGGGTGGGCGCCCCGAGGCCAAGGCGGCCCAGGGAGGGGTGTGATGGGTGAGGTTGCCACTGGGAGAGGCCCGGGTCCTCTGCCCATGTGGCCGTAGGCCTCTCCGGGGAGAGTGGACACGGGGCAGGAGGTCACTCCCCGAGGATCTGCAGACCCGGCGTTCCCAGCCTCGGGGCCCAGGGGGGCTTC